TGGGGCAAGATTTCCCTTTGCTTCCCTCTCATTATCCTCCTTGCCTTACTCCCTGGAGTGCCTGTTCTGGGCCTGTTTCCTTAAGGAACTGCTGGCTGGTGAGGGAAGCTTCAGAACTCCCTGAACAACTAAACAATTGCATCCCACCCTTCCTGAAGCCAGTAAGGATGTTTGCAAAAACCCAGACAGCGGAGGGAGGTGTCAGGAAGTGAACCAAAGAAGGCATGCTGTTTATAGGCCAGAAAAATCAAGCAGATTTTATTCTGACTTGGTTGTTTGGATTGTGGAAAGAATACAGTCCCTCCCAGGGAAACGCTGACAATCCACAGGCTCTCATTCAGAATGACTACATCCCTAACGTCTGGCCACATGCCCCAGAGGGCCCAAGAAGGAGACACGTGATGAAAAGATAGCAGAAAGAATCGCTCACCTGGTATTGGTAAAAGAGAAACAAGGAAAAATTTAGGACGCACTTCACAGACTCTCGTAAATATTGGGACTTGCCAAATGCTTTGCCTGCTCAGATATTGGAGACTTACTTATTTTGGAAATGGTGTAAAGCTTTCGTTGCAGTAAAACTAAGGAAAACAAAGAAGTATGCTACAGACAAAATCCTGGTGGCATTTGGCAGCACATAAGAGACAGAGAAACCCAGAAATAGTCAAAAAACATTGAAGCTTCCTTGATAAAAGAGCAGATGAAAGAACGATATTGTCCTTGTGGGATAAAATAGAGAAGTATATTATGGAGATGAAACAATAGGTCATAGGAACTCGAGAGCTAAATGATGCCTCACACCCCATCTGGGGGAACTCTCAGCCCTCCTCTATTGATTATGCTTTGGAGACATATCATGTAGTTGAAGTAAACCAATATTGCGAGGGTTAGATTGAATGAGGTGGAGGAAATGAGAACTAAGGAGAAAAGATATATGATTCCTATGCACAGGTAACAGCGGAAGCTGCAGGCAGAGGGAGGTCCATCAGGTACCAAGTGGAAAAAAGGAGGGGATCAGATCCAAAGCATCATAGAAACGGGGGGATGCCAATTAGGATTAATCTTATGAAGGTTCATTGAATTTGAATATTATTTTTAGAGTCCTTAAAACTAAGGAAAATAAGGAAATATGCTGTTCTTCTAAAAAGCTATTTATTATAAAATTACTGGAAAAGCTATTTATTATAAAATTACTGAGAAGCTTAATGATGATAAAATCATTACTAAAAAGCTTTCAAAAAGCTTTTTAAATGAATATTTTAAATAACTTTGAAATCCCCCCAGTTGGGCTAACCTGTTTTTAAAAGGAAAGACTCTGTCCACCAGAACCAAAGATGACTTTCAAGGGTACTAAACAATTACAAGGATTTTGCCTGGAGAAATCATCATCTTAAGGAGCCAGGGGTTCAAACTATCCATTCCCGGGTCCAAGAAGAATCAAAGACACACAGTCACCTCTGACCTCAGCTTTGGCTGCTACTTCAAAGGAGGGCTGGACTTGCCCCTCAAACTCCCACTTCACCCATGAGAAGCAGAGCACGTGCTCATATCCATGCTTCATCCCGGCCACTTCCATCATGGTACCAGAGCAGGCTGGACTCTGAGATTTAAAGACGGGTAATAAAGTGAGAGTATCAGATAGGGCACACCTTATTATCCACACCTTAGCCTTCATTCTGGCCAAACATGCTAAGGAATCCAAGAAACTGTATTCATATTCAACCTTGGGACACTCTGCTTTTCATAACAATTTGAGCTCCTGGGGTTCCAGTTTTGTTTTCAAAGAGGAATGTAGAAGCTGAAAATATTCAACTCAAAATAACTGATACCACTGTGAAATAGTCCTGGATAGGAATAAAATAGCTTGAGTACTTTTTTTTTTATATCCAATTGGCTCTTACAGAGATGGTGTCAAACAATCCTTCAACATATTGAGGCCAAAGTACTTTTATACTATGGCCTTAGAATATGCTGTAGACTTAAGTATCTCCTCCTTAAACACTGGGCTAGTTCCTCTTCTTTAAACTGGGTTTAGAGAATGGTGTTTTTTCTCCTTTAAGCATTGTTAGTTTCCCTCAAGTCATGCTGTGGGGAAAATGGAAGTTCCTATGGCCAGGATCCTCACCTGACCCTAAACAACTTGATGATGTAATTGACCTACTCCTAGGCTACTGCTTCCACACCCGGAGGCAAAGAGCTATTACTGACTGAGTCACTATATAAAGAGCTCTGCTCAGGGCTCTGGGCTGAAGCAGAGATGGAGATGGATTGCAGATCTGCAGACAGCTGGATGCAAACGTGATTCTAGTGCTCAACCTCCCACCTTGAGAATGAAGCCAGGTATAAACCCTTTTACTCCAATAACATTCCGTTGTCATTTCTCAAGTCTCACTGAATCCATAGTGAACTTGCGCAGGGCTTAACACTCTCAGGTAAAACAAATGCTTAAAACAATCAACTCAGAAAAAAATGTCATCCCAAGTTCGACCTCCTGGGCTGACTTAATGAACTAGTAATTGTCCTGCTAATGGGTTTCAGCCCTGGGCAAGTTCACTGTGGATTCAGTGAGGCCAAAGAATGACAATGGAATGTTCTTGGGGTGAAAGCCCTTATTACCCAGCTTGTTCTCATGGCGATAGGTCAAGCACTAGAATTACATCTGCATCTAACAGTCTGTAGTTCTATGATTCTCCTTCGTCTCTGCTTCAGCCCAGAGCACCGGGCAGAGCTCTTTATACAGTGACTCAGTCAATAAAAGCTTATTGCCCGCAGGTGTGGAAGCAGTAGCCTAGCAGCAGGCCAGTTACATCATCAAGAAGTTCAGGTTCAGGTGAGGATCATGGCCACAGGCACCTTTATTTTATCCACATAATACACCACTGCTCATCATTAAATTATAACCAAAATGAATATTAAAAGGCCTCACTTGCAACAGCTTCCTAAAATAGCACACATGGACAAGGATTTCCAATTCCCTGGGGTGTGACTTGAGTTCACATTGGTGTTATCAAACTTTACTATAGAGCCTTTTGCATTAAAACAATGGATTTTCTTTCACATCAAAAATGTTCACATATCAATAATCTAACAAAGCATGTTTGTACCTGATGGCTGTTATGGACTAAATGGTGTTCCCCAGAATTCATATGTTAAAGTCATAACCCCCAGTTCCTCAGAATGTGAGCATTTTCAGAGACTGGTGATTAAGCTTATGTGAGGCCCCTAGGGGGGCCCTAATCCAACATGACTGGGTTAGAGGAGGAGGAGAAGATGCAGAGAGAGGAATACAGCAGACACTTGCACACGGAGGGATGACCATGCGAACAGACAGTGCTGGGTGGTCATCTGCAAGCCAAGGGGGGGGACCTCAGAGGAAACCAACTCTTCCAGTACCTTGGTCTTAGACTTCCAGCCTCCAGAAACGTAAGAATATGAACTTCTGTTGTGTAAGCCATTTATTCGGTGGTATTTTGTCTTGGCAGCTGGAGCCAACTCATGTGCTAGTCATCTCCTGCGAGAGGAAGAATGTTGGAAATTCTCATCCCAGATTCAGTGGGACAGTTGACCTACAGGTGTGGAAGCAGTATAGCCTAGCAGCAGGCCACTTATATCATCAAGTAGCTGGTCTATATCTCACTTCGCCAGAATAATGGTTTCATGTTAATCCTTAGAGAAACGCAGGCCTCCTAATTGGATTCCAAAACTGGCCTGGAAATACAGAAAGTGTTGTTAATTGTAATTCTCGAGGAAACTGCTCAAAGAAAAATTGAAATGGGGCAAACAGATCCCCAGAGCGTTTCATTTCTCTTTTCTCCTTCATCTTTCTTCTTCCCCTGTCTCCTAATCTGCTGGTAAGTGTTCCTTACCTGAGTACTATCAGCCCTAGTTCAAAGTCACTATAAAGGTGGAGTGAATTAATATAATCCAGTGCCTCCCAGGTAACAGAGGTGAATAAAATGAGATGGGCCAGGTTCCAGAGAAGAAGGAGGGGGGAGAGGGGAAAGGGAGTTAATATTTATGGAGCTCTTACTATGGTCAAATACTGTTCTAAACACTTTATATGGATTATCTATCTCATTAAAACTCTCAATAATCCTGTGGGGAAGGTAGTGCTACTAATTTCACTTCACAAGTGCTTTTACGAACATTCAGAAGGGTTAATTTGCTGCCTGAGTCACACTTCCAGTGTGACCCTGGGGCCCAAATTCTAAACTACTGTGGGCTGCCCCAAGTTTGACTTTTCCTATTCCAGCTAATAAATTCATGCTAATTTTGCATAGTAATTTAATACTTGTCTTTATATACAACAGAGACAGACATTATTAATGCACTTGAGTATACATAGCCTCTTTCCTCCTCTAAGAAACACAACAGGAGGGCAGAGGAGAAGAGGACCTGTCCATCTGAGTGAAGAAGAAATTGGTTGGCAAGCATCCGATGGTGTAGAATTTTGAGGGGTTGAGGGTAAAAAGCAAAGACAGACAAGAGCTTCATGGACCAGCTGCCCTCCATGTGAAGGATGGATAGCAGCAGAAACAGGGAGAAAGAAGTTAAGAGTTCTGTCTTTACACTGGGGACATGCCCTCTGCCTGCACCTCCCCACTGATATTTCCTTGATAAATGAAGGTAAATATTGGAATTACTTTAAATTCCCTTTTTTAGTCTATGTTGTGTGTATCTGAGCTGATAATGAGAAAATATTGGCTGCGTAGTTCCCAGTAATACTTGGGTAATATTTTCCACATGGTTTCCTGGGTTTGGTGTTCTGAAGCCAAGTTGGAGTCTGTACTTTGTTTTCCTCACCTGCCCAAGAGTGTGTTTTGACTATGAGCACAAGATCACTGGGGGAGTGATGGAAAAGTACAGACGTGGCTGGGTCCAAGGCATGTTGATTCTCAGCAACACCTCCAGAAGTTGGGAGGATCCTATTGATCAGAACAGCCTGTTATGCCTTAGAGCAAATGCACCACGTTTCAGTGGCCTAACAAAACAAATTCACACAGAGCCCAGCGTATCCTGACTCAGGTGGCTCAGCATAATTGCAGCTTTCTCCAGTCTGTGGCACTGCCATTGCAACACAAGATTCAGCACAGGCCGGGATGGTCAGGGAGAGAACATGGCAGATCCCACGCTGGTTCTTCGCACTCAGCTGCCGAAGGGCTGAGACAGGTAAGCGTCCTGTTTCTGGAAAGGGAAATAGAATTGGAATCATTGTTGGAAACTAGTAATGCCAACCACAAATAATGAATGTGGTGGAGGACACGGAGAGATCAGTTTTACAATCTGAAGGGTATTTCAATCAGGACTCAGTGTTTCATGCGCAGTATCTGAAGAGCGTGATCATATGTAAGTCCACTTAACAGGCTGCAGTGCTGCAGACCAAATCTTATTCTTTACCCCAGCTTCTGTGGACATCCATGTGCTTGTCTTTCTGGAAGGCAAAGGGGCAGTGGTGGCAAGCACACTGGACTCACTTAAGGCCCTGATAGATCTGCCTCCCGGGTCCCTCCAGGGCTTGGCAGCTGCTGCAAGACTGGACATCAGCCAGTTCTGAAGCTGCTCCGACAACTTGGCTTCCACTGCAAGCTTGAAAAGGTCACAGGACATGCCAAGACATCAGCCAGGAATAAGCGGTCTTTTGAATAGTATTTGGAGCTTACCCCTAGAACCTTTCATGGAGGGAAAGCCCTAGAAGCTGGCAGATGCTGCTGCCTAAAAGATCTCTTATTCAGGCTCATCCAAGAACAAAGAGCAAAATCCGATCCCTCCAGTGGAGCACCTCACTGCTAGAGAAGTTAGGAAAAGTGGGGAGTTGCTGGGATCCACAAGTCAAATTCTAACTCGGTTTGGCGAGAGCAGGACAGCTTAGGTTTCAGGGAGTGGGGAACAGCCAACATGTGCACTTAGGGGCACAGCCCCCACCCACATGGAGCATCAGGATCTTTAAGGTGAAATAGTTTGCATTCTCTTTCAGCTGTTTCCTTGGGAGACAGGAAAAAGATACCACTACTATTTTTTTTCATTGTTTTTTTTTTGGCCTTGATTTAACGTTTTTGATTGACCAAGCAGAGACTGAGCCACACAAAGCCCTGGCAGAGTTGGTGTGCAAGCACTTTCTTGTCTTGAATAAATTACCAGAGTGTAAAATTACCACTTTCAGAAAATATATTGCATTAGTCAGTTTGGGCTGTTGTAACAGAGTATCATAGACTGGGCAGCTTAAACAACAGAAATGTATTTCTTACAGTTCTGGAGGCTGCAAGCCCAAGATTGAGATGCCATTATGCTCAGGTCCGGGCGAGGGTTCTTTCTGGCTTGTAGATGGCCAACTTCTCCCTGTGTCTTCACATGGTAGAGAGAGACAAGCTCTCTGTTGTCTCTCCTTGTAAGGGCACTAATCCCATCATGGGGCCCCACCCTCATGACCTCAGCCAGACCTGACGACGTCCCAAAGGCCTCATCTCCAGACTGTCACACTGGGTTAGAGCTTCAGCATATGAATGTGGGGGACAGTTCAGCCCATACGCATGTCATATTCATCCTGTGGCCTCAGGTCCACCCAGCATACTGCTGAGCACCACAGTGAGACACAGCGGGGCTTCTCTCCCCACCAGGAGACCTTTTAATTCTGTACTCTTAGGTCTCTCATACAATGTCTGTATGCACCTGAAACCTGCTCAACTTAAAAGCAGAAGCCTGCTTTGTCTTTGATTTTCTTCAAATTAATTTTAATTCTCCAGTACCTTAAATTCTGATAATAGAACTAAACGCCCATCTAAAAATGTTTTCATTCATCAAACTAGTATTTACCATACAACAGCTTCGTGCCAGGCACTCTTCCAACTGCTGAGGATTCAACAGGATAACAGCCCTGTCTTCACGGAGCTCACAGTCCAGCAGAAGGAGCAGAGGGTTGAAAGAGCATGAAGAGACCAGTCGTCTACTTACAGACCGTGCCAGGTGAGGAGGGACATTTCGACAATTGATGCCATCAATACAAAGGGTAGCACAGAGGCTGCTCCTTTACAAATGTAAGTCAAAGAAGGCTTCTTGGCAGAGGTGACCAGAAGAACTGAGGCCATCTAAGAGCTGGGAGAGGAGCACCTCAGCTGCAAGTCCAGCAAGCTCAAAGTCCCAAGTGTGGGTCAGCAGTAGTGAGTAGGAAGGAGAGCACAGCAAGTGTTCCATGTGGCAGCTTCGTAAGGAATTTGGGTCTCATTCCAAACACTTGGTAGAGTTAATATTTCTACAAAACTAAACATGAACGTAACTTCAAATATGCAGCTTTCTTGCTGTTAAAGTCCTTTAGTGTATATTTACAGAACACGTTAGAAAAGAGGGAAATTTATATAACACCTTTCAAATGTACAAAATGTTAAGAAGTTGGCATATGGCTCAACCTAAGGACTCTGGGCTACAGGGCAATTAATAATTTGTAGTGCTCAGTGTTACCAAAGGTGCCTTCTGTATCAGACTCTTGTTATTGGTGGTCTTGATCTCTACCCTAAATGTGCCTTTTTCTATTTATTTGCACGAGTCACTGAAGCCCTGGAATATACCTTTAGAAGTATGCAAAATTAAAGTAAATGTTTACCAGGGAGCATGTTGATTTTTCCTGCAGTCAATAATTTATGGAACAAATATTTATTTCTCACCTACCACATGCCAGGCACTTTGCTGAATCCTCAGGATACAGTGGTGGGCAGAGCAGGCAGGGATCCTATAACTCTTGACTTCCCAGTTCAGCAGGGAGAGAGACCCTGATCAAAGAAGCAGAAGTAAGTGACTACAAACTGCTGAGTGCTGCCCAAGAAAACTGCAAAGAACTTTAGCAAGCAGGACCCCGCAGGGGAATGCCAGCCTGACATACCACAGGTGTTGCCGACAGAATCAACATCTTTACTGATATAATCAGGAGACGGCAAAGGGATAACTAGGAAAACAGAAGTGAGTAACTTGGTAAAAAAAAAAAGAAAACCTAAGTCAGTTCTGCAATTTTTATGTAGATGGGACCTAGGGGTGGCAAAATGCACCTAGATTCCACTTCCCGTCTGTTGTGGGCTGAACTGTGTTACCTGAACATCCCTAACTCAACTCACGGGGCCTCGGAATGCTCCTCTGGAGACAGTGCCTTTAAGGAGGTGATTAACTTAAAATGAAGTCATAGGGTGGGCCCTAATCCCATGTGACTAGTGCCTTTTATTAAAAAGAGGAAATTTGTGCACAGACACGCACAGAGGTAAGGCCACGTGAGGACACAGTGAGAAGGTGGCCGACTGTGAGCCGAGGAGAGAGGCCTTGGGGGATCCCAGCCCTGCTGACACCTGATCTCAGACTTCCGGCCTCCAGACTGGGAGAAAACCAATGCTGCGTATGCCCCCCATCTGTGGTTCTTTGTCACAACAGTCCTGACAGACTTAAGGCACCATCTGATTCTGTTTTACAGCAAAACTCAGAAGAGCTCTCTGCTTCCTTGTCTCCCATTCTTTCCTCGACTCACTCCAAATGTCTTCCGTCTGGCTGTTTGGCAACTGTCAGCACCGTCTGACAAGCCGGCACTTCCTGTGTGCCATCAGCTCCAGCTTCCTTCCCTTCCCACCTTGCTGGCCCTTTTCTGGGTCTTTCCACTCCTCAAACCCTCGTGATGGGGCTCTCAAGAGCTCACACTCTCGCCTCTTGCCTCTCCCCTACGCTCCCACCTTGGGGGAGGACGCATCACTGGATGTCACTCTTAGGACGTAGGGAGGCCCACGGAGGACCTTAGGGGACGGACAGAGACTATCCAATGTAAAGAGGTCGCTCTGTATGTGGTATATAAAATAAATGAGAAAATACAGGAGTTGAGTTAGAAGGCAGTCATAAGGGTTAGACTTGTGTGATGGCAATAAGGATGCATAGAAGTAAATAAAAATAGATATAAGAGTTATTTAATATACTGAGGAGTTGAAATTCTAAAGACTCAAGAGGAAGGGAGGAAGAGAAAGATGTCATAATTCTAAAGTTTCTGAAGACCAGATAGATAATGGTGCCTTTTCCCGAGGTAGGAAATCTAGGAGGAAGAGTGACTTCTGGGGGCAGAACACAGGTTTGGTTTTGAACATGATGAGGTGCCCTTAAGTCAGGCAAGTGGAAATGTCAAGTGGGCAATTAGACAAGACAGCATCTGGAATTCAGAGAGGCTGGCTGATCTGGAAATCTAAATGGAAGGGCCGTTAGAATATAAACAGTGCTCAGCAGACAGCAACAGCCTGAGTGGGGATGAGATCTCCTGCAGGAGCAGAGTGTGGAGAAGAGGAGACCTCGGGAGGCAGCACAAGATGCGGAAGATGGTGGAAGACCTGGACCCAGAAATGTGGACTGAAAAGACGCAGCAGGAGGGCTGGGGGGCAGCAGGTGAGAGCCGGTGGGAGGGGAGGAGGCGTCGGCCATGCCAAGGCTGCCGAGGGGGCTGCAAATGGGCCAGAGGACTCGAATAGACATTCCCCAGTGAAGACGTACAAATAACCACCAAGCACAGGAAAGGATGCTCGACCTCACTAGTGGTTAGGGAAATGCACATCCCAGCCACGGTCAGAGACCACCTCACACCCATTAGGACGGCTGCCATCATAAATAAGTAAATAAACAGACAAACCAATAAATGAATAAACTGTGTCAGCGAGGATATGGAGACATTGGAACTCCTGTGCACTGTTGGTCGGAATGTGAAACAGTTCAGCCTGTAAAGAAAGCAGAGTGGTAGTTCTTCAAAACATCAAAAATAGAGTTACTATACAATCCAGCAATTCTGCCTCTAAGGACATACCCAAAAGAACTGGAAGGCAGATCTTAAAGGGAGTTTGTGTCCTAGGCTCATAGAGGCGCCGTCCACAACGGCAAAAAGATGGAAGGGGTCCAAGCACACAGAGGAGCAGAGAAACAAATGCGGTATATGTACAAAGGGGTATTATTCAGCCTTAAAAAAGAAGGAAGTCCTGACACATGCTATGATATGGGTGTACCTTGAGGACATTATGCTAAATGAAATAACCTAGCCACCAAGAAAGACAAATAATTTATGCTTTCACTTACATGAAGTACTTGGAGGCATCGAATTCATAGGAACAGAAACTGGAATGACGGGTGCCAGGGGCTGGAGGACAGGAGGATGGGGAGTTAGTGTTTAGTAAGGATGGAGTTTCAGTGTTTCAAGGTGAAACTGTTCTGAAGGTCGATCGCACAATAATATACTCACCACGCTGAACCCTACAGTTAGCGATGATGAAAATGGTAAGTTTTGTGTTAAATGTATTGTGCCACAATTAAAACTAAAACCTCAGTTTTGCAAATGTAGCACTCACATATTCATAGGTGGATAGGATAGAATACATTACATGTTTTAGTACCTTAAAAAAGTCAGCTAGTTATTACACCCTATACTTCTTTTAAGGAATTTGGTTATGGAAGGGAAAAGAGATAATTTAGAAACTGACAGACAGAAGTGAGATCAAAGGAGATTTATTTCTTCTATAAAGATAGTAGAAGTCCAAATGTATTTAAATGATGATAGGAATGATCTAGAAAAAGGGGGAATTTAGAGCTAGAAAGGATCATCAATACTGAGACATTTCTGAGAGATGGGGGAGATGCAGTCCAGAATGAAGGTGGAAATGCAAGCATCTGTTAGGAGACCAACACCTCCTCTAAGTGCCAAAGGCATGACTGACGGTAGGCTGATGGTAGGCGTCAGTAAGGTGTATTAGTTTGGTATCAGGAAGTTGATGAATTCTAGTCCAAACACTATAAAAAGTCAGAGTTCTCTTCTGAGAAGGGGGACATTGTTGAGCCTTTAGTTTCCATAAGAGTAAAGAAACTTTGAAATAGTCATTAAGGAATATAGAACTTCTTGGCCACAGGAATTTAGTAGAGTCTTGGGAAGAGTGGAGATCCTCTTCAAGGCTGGTGTTCACACAGTGCATGTATTGAGTGCAATGAATTCTGTTCATTGACTCTAGGAAGAAAATCTAGGTTCTGTTCTAAGGCTGGTTTTCTTTAGGAAAATTTGGCTGGGGAATTATTCATGATGAGAAGTATTCAAATACCACATCTAACTTTCAAATATGTAGCTATATGGACCATAACCATATGCATGCCATGTGCAACTTTTCCCTTTGGACACCGTGCACAGGAAGCAGGCAGACGGTGGCCCCCAGCATTACCAAATTTGGGGCAGGAGCTCAATATTTAGATGCCAAGAAGGACAGGTCAGGTCCACAGCTGAGTGAAGGATTTCTGCTGGGGAGGGCAGCCAACTGGGAATCAGCCACATGGAGGGAGTGTGTTCATCTCTGTAGGGAAACATGGGGCTGTGCTGACAGACAGACTGGTATTTCCAGAAAAGCCAGGAATCTGAATTTTTACATGATACCTTCAGACACTCACTTTTAATGCTGACATCAAATCCCTACACAACAGGATAGAATGCTGGCCCTAATTCAGCCCCTGGACTCTCAGCTAACCTTCACTCGGTGGTTCATCACAACCTCTTCTTCTCTGCTTTGTTTTACATCCTTTCTCGGCTGCCTTCCCGGGATTCCTCCATGGTGCAGACTGTTAATTCTATCAGAGTTATTCCCAACATCTGAGTCCACTAGAAACACCCAGAAAAATAAAGACCATCTGGACATCCCTGGCGTCCACGGGGGGCAAGGCCAAATAAGCAGCTACCCCGGGCCACACACCTGGACTCTGCGGCCTCACAGGGAGTGGCTTTCGGGAGAAGAGGTGGGCAAGGAGCAGGGAGGTGGAAGGCGAAGCAGCGGCTGTGTGGGGTGCGTGATTTCCCGCGGAGGTGACTGCAGCGGAGTACCAATGTGTTAAATGAGGTTGACAATGTGTGAAGTGGAAAATGTCACCAGCAGAAGAGACATAGTGAACTTTAGTTTTGCTTTAAATTAATGGGAACTCAAGGAGAGAAAATCCTTCCAGCGTTCCAAGAAAAGTCGCTAGGTTGCACATGAGGGCCTGCCTGAGCAGGTGTGTCTACCTCCGTGTGATAGATTCACTTCTGTGCACTTCGTGTGGGTTTGTGGAAGATGCTGAAATGTTTAGACACATAAGCACTTCAATTACAGGGATGTCACTGGCTACCAGGCTCTGGGCTCCACGCTAACAAACTCATTTTCCCTTTCCTTTCTGCAGTCATGGCATGGAGGCGCACAGGAGGCTGAGACAGTCACAGCCACTGAGGAGCAGCCGTGGGAAGCCTGAGTGATCTGGGGTGTGAGATCCTTGGAGTTCGTACTGTGGTGAGAACTCAGCAAACAGTTCTTGGAAATATCTTATTTTGCACAATACAAGCAAGAAGAGGGGAAAGCCCCAGATACCAATTAAGAAAGGGAGATGCTTCCCAAGGAAGCCAAGCACAGCTTCTTAGGAACACGTGCAGAGCCAGGCCTGGGGTTCAGGACCCGGACCTGGGTCCCATTTAGGGAAAGTCCCCCGGAGGAGCATTCTGGCTCTTCTGTGCACCAGTCCTCTCTCTCTCACAGGCAATGCCCCTAAACACAGTCCTGAAAGAACAGAGGCAAAAGGGGAAGACACCATGCAGGGAAGCCAAGCTTCTAGTCCCTTCCCATGTCCCAAAACAGAGCCCACCTCATTCCCAGCACTAATAACTTGAGGTGAATTCTTGGCAAGGGAGGGGGCAGGGGAATCTGGACAGTAAATAACTATCCACCGAGAAGTCCTGATTGAATGGAAAGCAAACGGTGTAAGATGGAGACAGCCTGGAGGGACTGCTTCTGCGCCGAATATTCTCGCACCCTTTGGGATGATGAGACAGCTGTGAGCCGAGGGCCCAACAGCATCAGCTTCAGAATCCAGAGGAGGAACTTCTAGGAGAATTAGCATCCTTAAGTAAGAGGCATAAGTGTAATGGGAACGCAGACACTCCTAAGTGGCTCATCCATCTGCTCTGCAATACCGTTGAGTGTTAAATATACACCAAGGGAGCAGGAGAAAGGGGAAAAAGGAACCAGTAATATTAGAGATAGACATTGGCTGGGCACGTATATGCAGCTAACCCTCACGTTTGTCCTGAAACAGGCGAATGGCAATACTTTGTAAAGGAGATGCGTTAAAGCTCATTGCAACACCAATGGTGTCCTGGGCCTCGGGCAGAGCCTCAGTGAGTGCTGGGGGAGGTCACATTTCCTCTGGGGGCGTCTGTGATGGTGAACGCTGCTCTCTCCTGTAAGGCTGCCTCCTCCACAGGGCCAACCACCTCTGGATTTCGAAGCAAATGTTCTTTGCCTCTGGGTGTGTAGAATCTATTTCCCCAAGCAGGGTGCAAGTGCTTTCAGACAGAGAAGAATCCTCTGCCCCCAAACGTCCCCCCACCTCCTTGCTAATGAAGAGGCTCAAGAACTTGCTGGTGGACCGCTCCAAGCCAAGGGCCTGTACCAGCTGAGGCGGTGTGACCACGCCACCCCTGCCCAGTCCTGAAGATTAAGAAAAAGCTATTTCCACATTCTGCGTGTTATCAGGAAGATGAGCATTTTCAATCAGTAACAAGAACACACATGTACATCTTTCAAAGGGAGACATATTTTGAGAACTGGATATGAACAAGCAGCTGTCCTGTTAGCCGTGCTTCCTGAGGCCAGGCCAGGCAGGCTCTGCAAGCAGGACCACTATCAGAGGTCATGGGTACTTATTCTGCCTTGCTCCAGCCCTCCCCTGCCTCCCTCCACCGCGAGTCCTTCTGGGTCCCCAGTGGGGACATCACCAGTTGCTCCTTTTCCTTCGTGGCCTTCCTGGGGCTTCCTGCCAACCAGGGCAGGCCAGCCTGCTGGTGCCCTGCGGGAGCCACTCGGAAAAAGCCCCCCTTCCCCTTCGTGCTTTGGCCTCTCGGTGGGTCCATGTAAAGCCGCCTGTTCTCCATGCACCCCACAGTTTCAGGAGTCAGTTGCTTCCTGAGCTGTGCCACAGCCTCACCTCCCACATGTGCCGCGGGAGCCGGGTGTGGCAGCAGGTGGGCGAGCAGACAGTGACACTGTTCACAAGCCCACGTTCACCATCCCCTTCCTCCTCCCTCGTCTCCCTCCGACTTTGCCTGAGGATGAGTTTGCTTCCAGGGAGCTATGAGGTCTTTGCACCCGGAGACCCGCAGGGGACACCCTCAGGTGTCCCAGACGGGTCTGAACTGTTGAGTAAACTTGACTTGGGTTCAAAAGGGGACTCCCAACCCCAGAGCATTCCTGAGACACTAACAGCTTATGAGAGACACAGCACACCCACTGCCATGCTTGGGGTCTCATGGGGGTCCAGGAAAACCTCGGTCGCTATCTTAGTCCACCTTAACTAATGAGGGAACTGAGAACCAGAGAGGATTAGCAGCCTGCCCAAGCTTGCACAGCTTCAAGTGGAGGGTGAAGACTTAGGCCCAGGTCCGATTCCAGATCAGGTGCTCTTCATGGCTCAAATTTTTACTTAAGTTTGATTTCTAATGGGGAGAGGTGCAAACTTATTTCCAGGACAAGAATCAGAGAAGTCTGTTCTCTAGGACCAAAGTGGATTAACAGGAAGCAGGGTTTGTGACACAAGAAGCCACGTGGAGCTGAGGCACAGCAGGACGGTCCTATGACTGGCGGCATCCTGGTGACACCAGGGGAGATCATGCAGGGGAGTTTATAGCCCAAAGTGGGTGGGTTCTTCTTGGAGAAGATGCCACCCCATCACTGTCCTCTCGCTGGGCAGCCGGCCCCCAGCGTGTGAGGTGCCATGTCAAGCAGCATCCAGACAACCACGGTGTGGGGGTGACCCTAAGGGACCCCTATGGAGGACACCCCTGCCCTGGACTTCATTTCAAAGCTCCCCACAGGTACACAGGGGGGTGGTTAACTCTTCTGACTTTCAAAACCACCATCACAGAGTATGTTTGCTGCCTGAATTCTGCACATGAAAAAGCCATCCTTTGTCTTGTCAGAGGTATTAAGATGGGAGAGGAGCATATGCACTATTTTTGTTTGTGTTTTTTTAAGTTCTCTGGAGAATCATAAGACATTTCCTTGTTTCACTTGGAAATTTCTTGAACTTTGAAAAAGACCATCCACATTGTAAAACTGAGTCCAGGAAGACAGCTGCTCCCTGTTGTCTCCCTAGGGTGTGGGGTGGCTGCTCCTGCCCCTGATACCCCCCTCCGGGGTGGGAGTCACCTAAAGGTTGGCACAGTGTTCAGGGACCCAATTCTGCAGGCAGAGCTGCAGCACAGGCCCCTGGAAGGCCTCTGGCAGGAAGAGCTGGACGGTTCTCAACGCTGCAGACCAGGGTGGCTGGCGTCCAACTTACTAACTTCCCATTTATTATCCAGCACTAAATAAATGTTCAGTCAGAGGAAACAATTTTCAAATGGCAATGTACATACACTCTGGGACTCATACAGACATTCAGAACAAGAAGAGCTCTAGATGCAGGCCTCGACTGTACCCAGTGTATGGGGAATTTCACATGCCCCACCTGACCCCAGAGCAGGCCCCCAGCCCCTGACTGACTCCTGTCAGGGCTCCCCACCATGCCGGGTGGGCTGTCCTGCGGGGAGAGGATGCCCACAACCTCAGAAATGGGAAATAGAAAAGGAAGCAAAATAGAAATAAATCCAATTAAACAGACAATGGTAACAATGATCACTTATTGAGTGCCACCCCTGTGCCAGGCACTGGGTTGTGAATGTTTATACATTAAATAATGAAATCTACACACCGATCATCTATTTTATCTGCAGTGTATAGACAGTGACGCTGAGGCTCAAAGGAGTCACTCAGTGGCCCGCAGTCATATGCATTCAGGGTGACCCAGCCAGATTCCAGCCCTGTTCCTTGCCTTGCACCCCTCAGGCCTCCTCCGGGCCAAACACCCGGACCCGCTGAGCGACATGCCCCTTGTACATGGCTTCTTTCCTTTCATCACTTTCAGGCCCAGCCGTGATTTAATCAGAAAGGACAGCATTCTTCCTTAGTGAGACCTGCTGGAATAAAGCAGAAGGCACACACAGGGGCCTCGCAGTGCCCCTGCGCCTGGGGATGGCTCGCACCAGCTCTGCATGCAGATCACCTGCGAGCCACTGTGGCATCCTCGCGGTGGCAGCTCTAGCCGCAAGCACAGTTCACCTCTGGGCAGCCGTGCACCCCAGGAGGCCCAGGCCCCCCGCGAGCCCTCTCCAGCAAACAGACACTTGCTTTGCGACCAAAAAAGGAAATACCTTCTGAAGTGTGCACTTGAGGTCCTGGAGTCCCACTGGCAAAGCTCCCATTTTAAAATTAGGTGCCCTGAAGATGCCTGCACAATGCAGCCCATTTAAAAGAGAGTTTTAGTCACATCACTTTTAAATGAATCTCCCGTGTCCAGTGTCATCCAGGTCAAGCAAGGCTGATTTAAATCCTGCCTGTAAAACATTCTTAATGCCGACTCTATTCATTTGGGAGTTGCTGGTATATGTGTACACATAATTTGGGACCTTTGCCTTTGAACTACCTTTGAAAAGTGCATTTGCTAAGCACGCAGTACAATTAGAATTGCACAGAAAATGCTTACTGTAAATACTCACATTCAATCATACGTTTATACATTAAAGAGATGCCAAAAGACACCCATCTCTTACTCTTGTTATTTTGGTATCTGAATACTCTGTATTCTTTAAAGCAACACAAAATGTGATTTCCTTAAAATGTTTCAAATGTGGTTTTCTCCAATGGCTATTTCTGTTTGTGAAAACTAATAGAGGGATTCAAAGGGTAGCTGGAACAGTGAGACAAGTCCACGCTGGCAGAGCAAGGCGGCCGGGTGGAAGGGCGTGGTGGGAGGCAGACACCAGTCGGGAAGAGGGAAGGCGGATGGGGGCACACGGGCTCCGCCTGTTTATGTGGGACCTGATCATGGCACCTCGTGGAACAGGGCTGGCAGCTCCCAGTATGTGTAAGGATACAGTCTGTTTGTTCTAGACTGTTGGAAAATGCCCACTGAGCTTCCACCAGCTGCTCAGAGCTCCTTTCCAGGCTGTGGGTTGGATGACATTTTCCCTAACCTTTTTAACAAACGTGGGGTGAGGACCACACTATTTGGCTGAAGACTAAATTTTAGAAAAAAATGGATAGAAGGGGAATTATGTTGGAGCCTTCAGCAAACAGCACTAATCACTGTGATCCCGAAACATAACACACACAAATTAAGCCTGGGGCATCTGGGGAATCTGCATAGTTTTGCACTAATGTCTGCCCATCTCTAGGCACCAGGCTGCCACTAAGTCAGCCAAGGAAGCTCCACAGATCAAACGTGATTGATTTTCACATCTGTCTCCCAGGTAGGAAGGGCCCACAGCTACATGTGCCTCTCAAAGTCTTCTGGTGCCATGAAGAGGGAATGGACAAGGTCTGGAGCAGGTCCCCGAATGGAGGCAGGCACTGACCCGGGTCTCCCTCAGGGCCTCTGGCTCCTGGCCCCCGTCTGAGGCTCCATCCTCCTTCTTTCCACGGCCGTCCTCAGAGCCCCAGCATTGTGATGGCGCCCCAAGCCAGAGTCTCTGCTACAAGTCGAATGTGTCTCCCCAGAATTCACGTTGAAGTCCTCTCCTTAGAATATGACCTTATTTGGAGAAGTTGTCTTTAAAGAGGTAATAGAGTTAAAATAAGGTCATTTGGTAAGCCCTAGTGCTATGTGACTGGTGTCTTTATCAGAAGAGAGATTAGTTTGCACACTCGCATGGAGGGGAGGCCCTGTGAGGGCACGGGGAGAAGACGGCTGTCTGCAGGCCGAGGACAGAGGCTCAGAGGAGCCAGCTGCTGCCTCCTGATCTCGGACTTCCCGCCCCCAAGACGGTGAGAACGTAAACTTGCATTCTTGAAGCCCTCCAGTCTGGGGCACTTCGTCACAGCAGCCCAAGCATACTCAGCCGCCTGGAGTTTCACCTCATCTCAGCAGCTGGAGCCGGCTCTCAGCTTCCACACTGCTCAGAGTAAGCCTGATGGTTCCAGTGCATTCTGCAAAGCCCAGTCCCACAAACTAAGGTCACTGCTGGCCGGGCCATGACTGCCTTAGGGTAGAAGGTCACGTGTGCTCAGTCAGCTCAGCAGCTCTGGTAATGGATCAGAGTTACCAGTGAATGAACACAGAGCCCTGCACCTGCCCCTCGGGGGTCCAGGGCAGGTCCAGAAGCCTGGGAAGGCCAGTTCTCTCCCAGGCCCGGCCTCCCACAGCACAGCCCCGATGGGCACGTCAGGCATCCTTCAGCTGAGGGTGAAGAAGAAGGATACTCCATGGGGCCCAGATCTCAGCTGTGGTCTCCACCCCAGGCTCCCCATGGAGTTCATATCTGAGCTGTAACTAGCTCATGCCTGTGGGTTATAGTCTATCAGAACCATTAAGAAGGTAGGAAGATGAGTTGTAGGAATTGAGCAATATATTCCATCCTGCACACCCAACATTTCCATATGTATATTCAAAAATTTTTTAAATAAGGAGTTTGACCAAATGCTGCTCACATGCATACACCCACATATCACTGTGTACCAGGTCAGTAACGTTTCTGAAGAGAGAAATCTGGAACGCATCTTTGCAACAGGCCCAGCAGGTTTCTGGAACATCTGATTCCTGTTAACAAATAGCCTTTTAGCAAATTAAGTGTAAATGAATCAGCAGCTTATGGATCATGTTTTAGCCGAAACAAACAAAGGATCCAAAATTTGTAAGAAAAAGGTGCTTGGCAAACTCATTATAGTTTGTTGAACCCAAGCATTTGAAAAATAGTTTGATTAATTTTGCCAACTCAAAGCCCTGCCAATTTTCTACTGTCCCTAAGTATTTACCAGCACTTTTCCAGATTGGATTTCCTATCCATATTTCTAAATGTTCTTGGCCGCTCTGCTGATAATCATGTGGAGTGCTTTATCCACAGAGGATAGTACACTTCATTCTTTGAGAATTAATCCAATGTCACACTAACTTTGGATGGTTTACAGTTCACAAAATTCTTTTGAGAGTATCACTCCATTTAGTTCCCCCAGTGTTCTCCTGCGAGGCATGCATGTTATCTTCCTTTCCACAGATAAACCAACTAAGGCTTAGAGTGGTTAAGGGACTTCTTCAAAGCTACACAGCCAGCAAAATGCAGAATAAGGGTTCAAATTCAGGTCTCCTGGTTCCAAATCTGCACCATAGGTATGAAGTGTGTGCTAAGCTTTCAGCCACTCTCACCAAGTTCTTCCTAAGAAGAAAATTCCTGAGATACTTGCTAGAAGAATGGGTACCATCTAGAGAAACAGAGGAGGCCCTGCCCAGGATCAGGATAGATGATCACTTCGCCAGACAACTGAGGTCACTGGCCTTGTCTACCTCGTGTTGGCCTCTGCCCTTGCTTCTGCTTATAGCACTTCAGTCTTTCAAAAATATTTTCTCTCTACTTGGGTCCTCAATATACAAATAGGATGACTCATCATGCTGAAACTCACATAAATAGGAAGGCTTCTGGTATAAGCATATGCATATGTAAAGAAAGTCAACCAAGACACCAGCTACAAATTGAGCAAATGGTGTTGTCAACAAAGATCATTTCCACTTTTAATCAGTAGATACACTGAATTATACAAGTTCTGTATACAGATTAAATGGTAAAGTGATTAGTCCATCTTCTGAAACCTCCCAATTTAGTATCCAGGAATTTAATTAATGCCTGTTTACACCCCACTTCCAGATCATTAATAAAGATGTTTGATAGAACTGAATTTAGTGCCAATCTGTATTCAAAACACCCTGCCGAGTTTCTCCACTAGATGTGGCCCTGCCTACCCCAACCAGGTGCACAGCGTAAAGATTTCAGACACCATCTAAGGATCTGAGTGTTACCACTTATTTAAATCCCCCAGAATAGCACACTCTATGTTCTCACTCTAGAAATGTGACATGTTGGGGGAATCTGGGGCACTGGCAAGCCTGCCCTGCTGCCAGTTGTTTTGACAGAAGAACCAAGGAGCCACACAGAAGAGGTACATCAGCAGACCCTTCCTTACAGGGCAGGAGTATGACCCAGCAGCTGTGGATCCCCTCTTGATCCATCCCAAGAACTCCTGCGGAAGTCTTAGATCAAAAGCAGGTGTGTGCAGGATTCTGGTTTAAGATGTCAATGCAGGAAGCTCCTGGACTCACCTCCTCCCAAGTACATAACAAAACACAGCTATCTATGGAATTGTTTCCTCTGAATAAAACCTAAAAACTGTCATAGTGACTCCTTCAAATTAGGAAAACAAGAGGGAAAACACATCAAAGTGGGTAAGAAAGGCTGAGACACAATCTCACCATAAGCTGCACCCCCAGTGTGGTGACCCACCCTTGGGAAGGAACTCAAATCCCAGAGCTTCGAAGGGCTAATATCTTGCATCAGGCACCCCAACTTTTCAGACCAGTGCCTGAAAGATAAGCCCCTAAAACATCTGACTTCAAAGACCAATGTGGCTCGTGCCCACAGAACCGGGAGCCATCATAAGCTGAGGAGCGGCTCTCACCACCCACCCCAGGGCCCAGCACAGAGGCTCCCGGATGGTGTGAAGACACTTGTTCCCTAATTTTAAAACTTTGGTCTGAGAGGAAGCGGCACACTGGGATAGGGGACCTCTCTGAGGACAGAGGCTGGCGAGTGCCGTCCCCCTCCCAGCTCTCCCTCGGACTTGCTCAAGGCCGCAGGCGCCATCTGTCCTTCTCCTTTCAGGTGGGTGCTGTCTTTGTCTTTGTGCTCCAGCTGGTGGGCACCATCTTGCAAGCTCTTCCTCTGCCTTCCTGCAGCCAGTGTGTGCCATTACCATCCTTTTTCTTTCCCTTTCCTCTTTCTCTTTATCTTTTTTTTTTCCTTTTCTTTCTTTTTTGTTCCATTTTATTCCTTTTTTGGTGGAGGCCTTCTGTTTCACTCCAGTACTAGGCTACCATTTTCACACTTTCCTTCTACTGCACTTTAGAGCACCAGCATCTCCCAGAAGGAAGCTTCTACACACATCTGAAGCCCTGATTTTTATGTCTGGTGATCCGGTTTTTGTGGCTGCTATGCAGAGTACACCTTTTCATTGGTTCTGGAGGCTAGGTGGGCTTGCACCTCTGGGTCCTACGGGACTGTGAGAATCTGAGAGACAGTTCTTGGCTGGCTACCATTCACAGGGCACTGTACAGACAGCAGACTGAACCACACCCTAGTTCTTCTGAGAAAGAGGCCTTTTGCTTGTGCAGATTTGGCCTGAGGGGCAGAATTCTGTTCTGGCATGTTTATAGGGGCCTGCAGAGGTGATCTCAAGGAGCAGGAGCTGGCGCACAGCCTTATGCTCTCCTTCTGCCTCACTCCACTTGCAAGGATCTGACAGAAAAGAGTTTATGCCCTTCCCTGGTGCCCTGAATTTGTGCTGCTGCCAGGGGACAATTCCATAATACCTTGGTATGGGTGGTCAGTGGAGCTTAAACTTTCAGTCCCACAGGA